TCTTTTTCTCTCCGATAATAGCATTTTAATGGGTTTTTAAAAACCAATTGGACTTTAAATACGAGATTAAAAACTCGTGAAAAACATTGAAAACAAATCAATTCATTGGTATTAATAGTGAGAGAGAAAAATGTATTCAAATTGTTGGACCAAAATGTGTGTTAAGTTTAGTGTTGTGTTTGAAAAGTGCAGTCAATTTCATACGGCGTTTAAAGATCTGCCACTTGAATGACAAACACGTGACAAACAAACTCTGCTTTGAGGCCAACCCTCTGGAGGTGTGGCCGCAGACGTGTGTCATTGCGTCACCCATTGTGGGGACCGTTCACTCATTGCACACACTCTCGCACTCTCTCGCACTCTCTCTCACTCGCAGTCAATGCCATACAAATGGCGTTCACTTTTGTGTTGACATTTTGTGCCAACTTTTGACTCATTCAGAGATTGTGTTTATATTTTTCGGTCCATTAATTGTGACATTAATTATAATCACAATTAATATAGAGTTTAATCTGTGTCTCGCTTTCATACCATAACGTACTGTAAGTTTGCTTTTCGCGCAATAATGACAGCGATTTTGATTGATTTTAACATTTCATGTGTTGTTGCCTACGATCTGACCATTAGATCCAATCGGGAGATCATGGGCTGCGACGGCGGGACTATACCGAAGAGGGATGAGTTGGTCCGCACTAAACAGCGTCGGGAACAGACGGACCGTACGGTAGAATTGGTGGCGAAATGGCATTACTGTGCCATAAGTACTGCCAAACTCGTGGAGCCGATGGTGTCGTGCGAATTGGGCCGACTCTACAACAAAGTGGCGGTCATTGAGTACCTGTTGGACAAGACATCGACGCCCAACGCCTCCCTCTGTCAACACATCCGATCACTTAAAGACGTAAAGCCACTCAATTTGACCGTTAAGACCGACTACAACGACAAGAAACCCGAAATCGATGGCCAATACATCGACACTCAGGACTCGAAGTTTGTCTGTCCGGTCGTCGGCATTGAAATGAACGGTTTGTTTGATTTATTATCTATTTTTAATGTATTGTTTATATCCAAGTAATGGATTAATTGTCATAATTTGTTGCTCTTATTGAAGGCAAATACAAGTTCTGTTACATCCGTTCGTGCGGTTGTGTGATGTCTGAGAGGGCCCTCCGAGAGGTGAAGTCCGACACTTGCCATAAGTGTAACAAAGAGTATTTGGCGGACGACGTGATTGTCATCAACGGTACCGACGATGAAGTGAAACAACTGGAGAGTCGTATGAATGAGCGAAGAGCTAAGGCTAAGGACTCGAAAAAGAGCCGCAAACGAAAGGCAACGGAAGTGGAGACCGATGCCGGTCCTCAGCTCAAGACAAGTGATAGCAAAACGACAGCCTCTTCCTCAACATCGGTGGCGTCCACATCGGGTCTAAGGACTCGAAAAAGAGCCGCAAACGAAAGGCAACGGAAGTGGAGACCGATGCCGGTCCTCAGCTCAAGACAAGTGATACCAAAACGACAGCCTCTTCCTCACCATCGGTGGCGTCCACATCGGGTACTGCGAGCGCATCGAAGACCACAACCAAACCAATCGACAAATCATCGAAAGACTATTCGGTGGCCAAAGACCCGAAGGCGAGTGAAACATACAAATCATTGTTCACGTCTCACAAATCGGCTAAAGACAGGCCGACCGCACATTGGGTTACATTTAATCCGTGTTATAATTAAATTATTTTTATATTTCATAAACAAAACAGCATTTCATTGAATTGATATCTTTTTTTAATCGCATCTAAAATTTGAATAAAATATATTCAACAATAATTATTAAATTCATAAAATATAATTAATATCTAAATTTGTAAAATAACTCCTAATTTATACAATAAAATTGATTGTATTTATGCGCGTAATATGAATGTAATATAT